GATTTGCGCATTCCATGCGTGGTTAAGCGGGATTACATACAAATGCTCGTATTCATGCAACACAATATTATACTGACGCTTGTGTACAATTTTCTTTTACATCATTATATTATGTATAATACTGTCTTGTCGTAGTAGGTTGGTATTGCGGGCGTGTAGGGAAGTATGGGCTGGTGGCGCTGCCGTTGTCCGGTTGAAATGGTGTAACCTCGAATGGACGTCCCACAACCGAAACAGCTTCTCTGACGGCTGACCGAAATTCCTCGGTATTGTAGAAGTAAATTATCGGAATTAATCAGTGAATTCAGTGCCAGGCATTAGCTCGAGATAACCGTAGTGTTTGAAGCCCCGACGGGAAGCTCGTTAGATCAAGGACCATTGGGCAAAACGTGCGGAGCCAAGAAGAGTCGACAACCATAGGAGCCATGATCTCTTGACTTTTCCATGCGAGTGGAAACAGGTCGTGCACTCTCTACCCGGCCACTGACGCTGCGGCGATCCTTCGCGCGATGTCGGTGGGGCGATCGGAGAGCGCGAGTGGCGAGGGGGTGAGCGAGTAGATTGATGGGACGAGTAGTAGTTAAATCGCGAGTAGGTGGGCTAGCGATAGAAATACAGCGAATCTGGCGCCACTACCAGCTCACCGACGGCACGCAGTGGACGGGATTCCGGGGAATATCGTTGCCTTGGATGGTGGCGTGCGCAGACCGCAGCCTATCGCGTACAGTCAAACGACGCGACATGAGAACACAGGTGCCGCTTCGTTGTCATCCACTGGCTGTTAGCGTTAGCGGGTGTGCGCGAGCGCCAGCGTACCTGTGTGTCGTGCCAGAGGCGCATGGCTTCTATCGATGCTAGAAGATTTGTGGGGTGACTGACTGCGTACCCCGTAAAACACTGCGCACCGCGGCATCGTGGTGTGTCTAGTAGCGTGGAGATGCCGACAATAACGACAGGCCATCACAAAGTCGCAGCAGGCCAGCATTGAGGATCGTGAGGTTTGCTGCGGTTCGCTGGAGTCGGCGAATCGTCGCGGCGGTATGGGATGGCGATCGAGGAGACCGGTTGCAGACTGGGTGCTTGACGTCGAATCACACGATAATGCCATATTTTATGCTATAGCGTAAAGTTTGCCTGTGTCATGTTTGACGTCCAGTAGTCCACTCATGTTGTTCGTATAGAGCGTGGATACGGATTGAACTGTATGCAAGATTTTCGGTTCGTGCGTCGTAACCTTCATCAGGATCATTAAAACTGTCATGATAAATATAGATTCTATCTCTGCCGAGACTGATTTCTAAAGCCCGAAGATGTTGTCCTGTTTCTATCACTCACACAACAGTAAGTGGGGTGATGTATGCAGATACGGCTGACGCACGCCCCCCACTTGAAAGTGAGTAGTATGCCTGAAGGGAGTTTATTATTATAAATATAATATATATATTATATATATATATCAAAAACTAATAATAATAAACTAGAGCACTCGGAGAGCACAGACCTCCGCCAAAGCAGCTCAATTCTGTCACTGTGAACATTTTTATTTATTAAATTAATTAATTAAATATTAAATGTGGATCCGGATGACGACCAATGTAATCATTCTAAGTTACCCGATTTCTGACGTATCCTGAAATTTGTATTAATGAATGAATTGATTAATTAATTAAGGAATTGGATGCCGGATCACACCAATATGTAATCAATTCTAATGTACCCCATTTCTACCTATACTGAAAATTCTGTATTAATTAAATTAATTAATTAGAGCCGGATCACCACCAAAATCTAATCAGTTCTAAGTTGAAACCCATTTCTGAACCCTATGCGCGTGATGGAATTTTATGACAATCGTCGCATACTATTTTCAGTTAGGGCTGCTAGCACAAAGAAACCCACAAACCCAACAAACGCCGCCGATAAAAAGCATAACTTCCTGCCAACCCTTTGGGGGTTAATAAATAAACTAAACAATAATGTGTTAACTTTGTTCGGCAGACGTTCTGAATTGAATACTTAAACTAATATCCAGTGCTACTGAAGTTCCTGTGATCACTGTGATTACCATGTGAGCCACAGGCCTATCTAACAGCAAACAGCGCTAAGTGCAGTTATATAGTTTTGATCGTTTGTGCGCGCGCAACTCGGCAATTTCGCTATTATACCATGCGATGCCTCCGATAAGCATCAACCAGATGACCAATCATGCCTGTCGTGTTGGCGTCTTGTGAGCAACAAAAACACGGGCGCGTGGTAATGCTTTTTGGCACCACTCTACTAAGTACATCTAAGCCTGTACATGTTTCGCGACTGAAAGACTCAAAGAAGAGACGAACGAACTGGAGGTTCTAGCTGTATGTCATGGCTACGCATGTCCTACGACGTGACTGCTACACTCGTATTTCGCATTCAGAACTATGGTGTAAGAAGATTAATCCAGCCGTTATAAGATGAATGAGGATTGGTTATTTTCACCACAAAGTATACTTTACCGACATAATAACTCGAGCAGATTAAAAAATAATATCAATTATTAATTTCGTATCCGTAGCCCATGTTTTTTTGCGTTGCGTGTCCTGATTGAAGGTAGTATAGGCCTATGTGTTTTTTTTCACCAATATGTGGCCTCGGTAAATTTTGAACCGTTAACACATCAGTTTGTTTTGCTTGCCTTACCTGTGTTTGTCACATGATTTGCGTGTATGCGCCTTATCATGGTGCTAGGACAAAAATTCATACCCCAGGACGAATCACCCCCGGACAAGATTACCCTCCGCGACAATTACTCACTGCGTGTTTATTATTCATGGTTGAACATTGATGAGGAGGAAGTCGAGCGAAGATGTGCAAGGTGGTGGAGGAGAGGAAGGGGGAAAGGTGCGGCGGAGGGGAAGGTAGTGGAGGAGGAGGCGGAGTGGGAGATGGGGGAGGGGGAGAAGGTGGGGAGGAAGAGGGGAGGAGTGAGAGGAGAGGAGGGGAGGTGGGAAGGAGGATGAGGGAGGGAGGGGTGGGAGGGGGGAGGAGGAGGAGAGGGAGAGGTGGGAGAAGGGTGGGGTGGAGGAAGAGAAGGGTAGGTAAGGAGTGAGAGGGAGAGGGTTGGAGGCAGGAAGAGAGGAGGTGGCGAGGAGGAGGAGGAGGAGAGGATGGAGGAGGGGGGAGGAGGCAGAGGAGGGTGGGGGATGAGGAAGGGGAAAACGTGGGGAGTAGGTGTGGGGAGTGAGGGGAGAGGTAGAGGAGGAAGAGGAGGGGAGAAGGTGGTAGAGGAGGGAGGAGAGGAGAGAGGTAGAGGAGGCGCCTCTACATCTCGCAACACATTCTCCCCTCTCCTCTGGCTCACCTCACTCGCTGCACCTCACCTCACTCCTTTACGTTCCTCTAACTCCTCCTTGCTCCCCGCTGCATACTCCTCCACTACTTCTCGGTCGATCCTCTACATCCTCCTCTAAGTCACTAATTCCGGCGGGTGTAAATGTGCTATGTCGGGGGGGTAAATGTCCGCGGGGTGTTAAATGTGGGATGCCGGGAGTAAATGTGCGGATGTCGCGGCGGGTAACCTGTGGCGGGTAAGTCCGGCGGGGGCGGGGGGTGAGCGGGCAGGGGGTCAGATGTGCAGGCGCGTGGGGGGTAATGTGCCAGGGGGGGTGAGTGGTAGTAAACGGGGGGTAATGTCAGGCGCCGGGGTGATGTCTGGCGGGGGTAATTGCCCGGGGGCGTAGAGGTGTGGTAATGTCCGGGGGTGAATTGTCCGGGTGGTCTTTTTTCCTGATACCGTTCTATCGCGTGATTTTTAAGGCAATGACAAACTCCGTTGGAATGTATACCGTGCCTCATGATATTTTTGTTTGCGGTACCCCGTGATTGCGTGTATTGTTTTTTTCCACATATCGGCACGAGAATTTTACGGCTTTGTTTGTTTTGCTTGCGTACGCGTGTTTGCGTTCATCTTGTAGTCGTGTAGGCGTGTATAATATGTGTTTTCTCACATATTTGACATGGGACCACGGGAACGTTTGAAGGCAACTGGGAAGCTCCGTGGAAAAGTATACTGCATAGCGCAAAAAAACCATACCATATGACAATTTTGCCATTATGCCAACATTACTCTATTGCAATTTATACCAGAAATGTCAGACGCAATGCGTGCATGTGGATCGTGTGAGCGCGTGCGTGCGTGTCGCATACAGAAGCAATACTATCCCATTTAAGAAATATACGTGGGTGCGTGCACACCAGCCAATTAGTTTTGAGGCTAAGAAATTGTTTACGCCGACCGACATTCCTATAACACAAAACACGGACGCGCCAATGCCTGTTCAATGTTTGTGTACATTACATCTAATTCTCAGAAACGTTTTAGTTATCTATAATACCGCAGATCGAGTTCTATAACTACTGACACAGCTTCAGATAAGTAAAGTTGCCACTTATTTAGTTAGATACGTGAGGAATAACAGCGAGCAAAAACATCCGTGGCATAAACTCAACCAATACAACAAGGCAAGGGTATCAACATACATATTTGTGACATAATCTGCAGTTAACCAATGCGATATATCTCAATTAAATTAATTAATTATACAATACGCTATACATTTTCATAATTTGTATTGGTTTTGTTTATACAATTTTGTATAATTGCTACTATAAAAATGGCAAGTGTACTACCAAAACCTAGCGCAGGTACTAATAAATGATAGATCGGCTTTATTCCTAACCCCGGTGGCCATGGGCTGTCGTCCTATTAGAATACCTCGACTCACGAGCAAATATTTCCTTCTAGCCTAGCGTAATGCCTACAGTCATATATTTCTTCGACCATTTTCCTTCCTGACCTTTCATAAAACTCGAATCCGTTCAGAAAGTCGTATTAGTACCCGCAATTTTGAAACGTGCAATTCAAATCAAACGCGAGTGGGATGCAAATAGTTCAAAGGAAGGAACATTTTGATATTTTTATTTCAGTTCCAGTGCTCTGATAAATCTTTCAAGATATATCAAACGGGCTGTTGTGTGATGTGGCATACAGAAAATTGAAATAGACCATTATCATCATTCAGTATCTACATATTGACATTAACTAATGGATAGTACAGCGCATAGTAGTCTATTGCACAAGCGAGCATCCATCGTCTCCTATTTCCGCTACTATAAATTGGAATATTTAAACGTTTGCGGCAATTCAGACTCGTTTATCCTTTGCAAGATCTATATAGACATATATTCTTCTCTTTGTACAAATGAATTCAGTTCAATCCGTTAATGGAGTTATGTTACACTTCATTCACATTTCTGTACACGTCTCTATCTCAAAAATATATTTTTAGTTTTTACACTCAGTGCAACACTCGAAGAAATCGAACCCGGAAACAAATTCTCTTTGATCGATCGCAACTTACTTCCACGTTGTCAGTGAACGTCACAACCCCAAGCCCTACTCTACTCGGCACACCTCTGCCGATTACATATACCTTCATGTAACTTTTGACTATAACCTTGACTTGGCTGCCATAACTGGTACTTACTTGTAATATCCATGCTACCAATCTAACCAACCTAAATCATCTCCAGAGAAAATTACGATACCCTAGGCCAAACTACTTCATTGTCGTTAAAAGTACTATTAATAAATAATATGATTATAAATGATAAAAGCGTGAATGATAAAAGTAGGCTGTAACTCACGCGCGTATATCCCTTTGTTCCGCTTCGACTCTTTCGTAAACAACCCGTATATAGTGTTGTCAGGGAGTGAATAATAATAGAGTATATTGATTATATCTATTATTATTCACTCCTGGTGTTATGTAAGGTTTTTACTTATCTTGAAAAGTGATTAGAGGTTTTGCAACTTATAATTGTGTGGAGCCGACATTGATATACCAAACGCCAGTAGTTGCACCCGTAAGCACCTCGCTCGCTTCACCATTTATTCGCAGTAACGTCACATATATATTTTTTGGGAAATCAGCAAGGCCCTTTTCTACCAGATTATTGCTAACGTATGCGTAGGTCGTAGACCGATTGATGTGGGCATGCGCCACAGCACTTGGACAAAGTCAGTTAAAAACTGAAAATAATCTGAACGCAAAACACAAATACTACCCCTCAATACACTTCCACTGTTGTGTCAACTTGCTTTCACAGAAACTAATGCAGAACTACGCCGCTCCGCACTCGCCGCTGCGTGCACGTGCTGTGTCGCGCATATTTAGCCGCTCCGCACTCGCCGTTGCGTGTGTGGCTGCGTCGCCATATATATATGGCCATATATAGTGCGACACAGCACACCACGCAGCGGCGAGTGCGGCGATCGGCTAGTTCTGCATTAGTTTTTGTGAAAGCAAGTTGATATACAGACTATTATTTTCAGTTTTCACTGACTCTTCCCAAGTGCCTGTGGGCATGAGCATGAGCAGCGAGGTATATTTAAGTATCTTTGGGAAACATATAAAAAGTTGAAATATTAACATCGTTTTAGCACTGCACATTTGCTTCAGTATCATATATAAAGTTGTTCAGTCGAATTATGTCGTACCCGCATAACTAGAAAACTAAAAGTTTTAAAAAGTAGAAAGTTAAAAATTTATAAAAATTCTTATTCATCAATAGATGGCGTGTGCGTACAGATTAACATCACTAACGTGTGAATCCATGTTATTACCCTGAACGGCGCAGTGGCCTAATCGCTAGAACATTCCGTCTGCCTACACGGGATTCCGGGTTCGAGTCCCAGCTGGCGTACTTATTTTCCCCTTTTTTCTTTTTTCCCCTTTACCTACCTCTTTAGTATGTTATTTTTTAACTTGTTTATATTATTAATGTCTTTTTATCTTTTGATTTCTTATTATTTTTTTACTGTTTGGATGGCATGGGATGGCATGGAATGGCAAATGCGATGGCATGGGATGGGATGGCATGGCATGGCATGACATTGCGTGCTATGATGCGTTGCGATTGCGATGGCATGGCATGTCATGTGGATGGCATGGATGGCATGAGATGCGATGAGATGCGATGAGATGCGATGAGATGGCATGGGATGGGATGGGATGCGGTGCGATGGGATGGGATGGAATGGAATGGGATGGAATGGATGGATGGATGGATGGATGGATGGATAGATGGATGGATGGATAGATGGATGGATGGATGGATGGATTGGATTGGATGGATGGATGGATGCATGCATGGATAGATAGATAGATTTTTGGGGGTATTTTCCCTTTCAATAAAGCGGTCACCTAACTTGAGTAACGCCACTAATTTCCCGGGCACGCCGGGTATATCCCGCTAGTGCTATATATTTGTTGCCACGTTCAACGCTGTGCTGCGTTGTGTTCACTGGCACTATATGATATATTATGTTCCGGGCGGGAGGTTTTTCGGAAACAGCTAAGACCGAATGCGGAAGTTTGGTCTTCAGACAATATGTTCTTAACTCTAAAATCTCCTTCCATTTGCTGAAAAGCCTGGATCGATAATATCAGAAGTAGGATAATAGGGAACTATTATCTACTCCTGATAATATTGCGTCAAAACTCTAACGGTAAATGAGTCGTGCCGAGACCGTGGAGATTATTCACGTATGAGGTTATTCCCTGAAACCACAAAATTTACTAAACATACTGAGAAAAATAGCAAAATGCGAGAAATGCTGTTCCCCGGATTACCAAAATTAATAATAAACTTTACAGTGACGCCTTTGTTTAATGACAAGTAAAGACTCGTGTATATAATCAGTGAAACAATAATATTATTAGGCAGTGTGACGTTCGAAAGTAACTCGCTGTATAGAGGCATACTGACAGGAAGGACATTTTACGTGCAAAACACGTTCCGTATATGTTGCCTCACAGATTTATTTACCAACAAAATCTCACGACACTAGCGTTATAACTAAGTGCTATCGGTGTAATAATCTTCTACAATGACGCATATAAGATGACACGCCCCCGCGAGACTCACGTACACCCAGAATGGTGTATAATGATTTGCGCATTCCATTGCGTTAAACATTACATACAATGCTCGTAATTCATGCAACACATATATACTTGACGCTTGTGTACAATTTTCTTTACATCATTATATATGGTACATAAGTTACTGTTTGTCTAATAGCTTGATTGCTTCGCTACGCTTCCTGCTCCGTCGCGGTTGAAATGATGTAACCTCAGAGGACGTCCACAACCGAAAAGTTCTCTGACGGCTGACCGAAATTTCCGTGTACTTGTAGAAGTAAATAATCGGCAGTTAAATCAGTGAATTCAGTAGCAGGCAGTTAGCCTCGAATAACCCCGTATGTTTTGAAGCCCGACGGGAAGCTGTAGATTCAGCGACCATGGGGAGAACGTGCTGAGCAAGAGAGTGCACGAGAGAGCCGACAACCATGAAGCATTGATCTTTGACGTCTTCCATGTTGCCGTGGAACGCTGTCGTGGCACTCTCTTACCCGCAGCTGACGCTGCCAGCGATCCTTCGCGCAGTGGTCCCTGGCGATCTGTGGAGACGGATGGTGATGTAGCAGTATCATGACAACAATAAAATGGCTAGTGCGCTAGCGATAAAATACACGAATCCTGGCGCCATTACCAGCTCACCGACGCCAGCCCCGAACCCGTGACGGATGCCAGTAATACGTTGCTTGGATGTCGATCGGGGCAGCACGCAGCCTTTCTGCTGCTACAAGCAAACTGACGCACGATGAGAACCGGGTGCGTTCGGTTTGTCATCCCTGGCTGTAGGCGTAGCCGAGTGCGCGAATCGCCACGCTACCTGTTTGTCGTGCAGAGCGCAATTGCTTCCATCGACGCTACAAGGATTGTGGCTGCGTACCCCGTAAACACTGCGCACCGCGGCATCGTGTAACGAGGTGCGAGTGCCGACAATAACGAACAGCCCATCACAAAGTCGCAGCAGGCCAGATTGAGGATCGTGAGGTTTGCTGCTGTTCGCAGTCGGCGAATCCTCGCTATGATGACGATCACGAGACCGTTGCCGACTGTCGTGACGATCGAACTCAACACGAATAATGCCACTATTACTGCTATAGTGTCAGTTTTCGTATTTGAAAAGAACACGCGGCTAACTTGGTTGTTTTCTTCGATGACGCTGCTGTTGCTCATGTTTGACGTCAGTAGTCCACTCATGTTGTTCTAAGACGTGATACGTTTCACTGTATGCAGATTTTTGTTTCGTATCGTCGTAACTCTCAGGATCATTAAAACTGTCACGATAAATATAGATTCGATCTCTGCGAGACTGATTTCTAAAGCCCCAAATTTTCCTGGTTTCTTCACTCGCACACATAATATAGTATGCACATACGCACGCACGCCCCCACTTAATATAGATGCCTATATTATATATATATATATATATCAAGAACTAATAATAATAAATAAACTAACAATAATGTGTTAACGCAGACCTTCTGAATTGAATTAAACTAATATCCACGTGCTACTGAAGTCCTGATCACTTGACCATGGGAGCCACAGGCTATCTAACAGCAAACCTGCCGTTATATAGTTCGGATCGTTGTGCGCGCGCATCGGCTTCTCGCTGCTCGATATACATGCCGATGCCTCGATAACATAACCAGATGACCAATCATGCACGGTCGTGTTGGCTGTTTGTGACAACACAAAACTCGGGCGCTGTAATGCTTTTCGCAACTCTATACTAAGTACATCTAAGCTGTCATGTTTCTGACTGAAAGACTCAAAGAAAGACTGAACCAAACCTGGAGTTCTGCGTTGTCATGGCTACGCGATGTCCTAGACTGTGACCTGGCTACAACCTCGTATTTCGCATAGAAACCATGTTAAAAGATTAATCATCCGTTTTAAGATGAATGAGGATTGGTTATTTTCACCACAAAGTATATTTACCGACATAATACTCGACAGATTAATAAATAATATCAATATTATTTCGTATACCGTAGCCCATGTTTTTTGCTTGCGTACCTGATTGCATGTATATATGTGTTTTTTTTCACATATGGGCCTCGGTAATTTTGAACGTTAAACATCAGTTTGTTTTGCTTGCCTGCCTGTGTTTGTGCACATGCATTTGCGTGTATGCGTTTTTCATGGTTCTAGGACAAAATTAATACCCTCGAACAAGTACCCCTCGAACAAGTACCCCCCGGACAATCACCCTCCGGAAATCTACCCACCGGACAATTACTCACTTGGTGTTTATTATTCATTGTTGAACAGTGATACAGGGAGGAGGTCAAGGAGAAGGGAAGGTGGTGAAGGAGCAGGAAGGGGAAAAGGTGGGTAGAAGGTGGTGGAGGAAGAGGGGAGGAGGGGGAGGTGGAGGAGGAGAGGAGGCGAGGAGGTGGAGGAGGAGGGGGAGAACGTGGAAAGAAGGTGGTGGAGGAGGAGGGGCAGAAGGTGGAGGAGGAGGAGGAAGAGATGAGGTGGAGGAGGAGGAAGAGGAGGGGGAGAAGGTGGACGAGGAGGAGAGGAGGAGGTAGAGGAGGGCGCCTCTACCTCCTCCTCTCTTCCTCCTCTATCACATTCTCCCCTCCTCCTCTTCCTCCTCCCTCAACCACGACCTGCACCTCCTCTACCTCCCCCTCCTCTCCCCTTCCTACTACTCTACTACCTTCTCCGTCGTCCTCTAACTCCTCCTCTATATGTCCGGGGGGGTAATTGCCCGGGGGGGATTGTCAGCCCGGGGGGGGGGTAAATGTCCGGGGGCTAAATGTCCGGGGGGTAAATGTCCGTGAGGTGATTGTCCAGGGGGTAATTGTCCGGGGGGTGAATGGCATGGGGGTAAATGTCAGGGGGGTAATTGTCCCGTGGGTGATTGTCCGGGGGGTATTTGTCCTGATACCGTTTTTCATATATGCGCCACGGTAATTTTGAAGGCAATGGAAACTCCGTGAAATGTATACCGTGGCCCATATGTTTTTTGTTTGCGTACCCGTGATTGCGTGTATGTGCTTTTTTCGACATATGGGCCACAGTAAATTTTAAGGCAGTTTGTTTTGCTTGCGTACCGGTGTTTGCGTTCATCTGTTAGCGTGTAGGCGTGTATAATGTGTTTTCCACATATTATACATGGGCCACGGGAACTTTGAAGGCAATGGCAACTCCGTGAAAAGTATACTGTATGTACACAAAAAACCATACCATATTACCAATTTTGCCATTATGCCAACATTACCATATTGCAATTATACCATAAATGCAGACGCAATGTGCATGTGCGTTCGTGTGAGCGCGTGCGTGCGTCGCATACAGAACAATACTATCCCCATTAAAAATATACGTGGAGTGCGTGCACACTAGGCAATAGTTTTAGCCTAAAGAAATTGTTTACGCCGACCGACATTCCTATAACACAAAAAACCCCGACGCGCCAATGCCTTCAATGTTTGTGTACATTACATCAGGAGTAGATAAAGGGAATCCCTTTATCTACTCCTGATTACATCTAATTCCACGAAACGTTTTATTATTATAATACCGCAGATCGAGTTATAACTACTGACGCAGCTTCAGATAAGTAAAGTTGCCACTTTATTTAGCTAGATACGTGAGAATAACAGCGAGCAAAAACATCCGTGGCATAACTCAACCAATCCAACAAGGCAAGGGTATCAACATACATATTTGTGACATAATCTGCAGTTAACCAATGCGATATCTCAATTAAATTAATTAATGATACAATACGCTATACATTTCATTAATTGTATTTGTTTTTGTTTTTTTACAATTTTGTATAATGCTAATATAAAATGGCAAGTGTACTTACCAAACCTAGCACAGGTACTAATAAATGATAGATCGGCTTCATTCCTAACCCCGGTGGCCATGGGTTTCGTCCTATTAGAATACCTCGACTCCTCGAGCAAATCTTTCCTTCCTAGCCTAGCGTAATGCTACAGTCATATATTTTCTTCGACCATTTTACTTCCTGACCTTTCATAAAACTCGAATCCGTTCAGAAAGTCGTATTAGTACTCGCAATTTTGAAACGTGCAATTCAAATTCAACCGCGAGTGTAGGCAAATTTCAAATAAGGAAACATTTTATATTTTATTTCACGTTCCAGTGCTCTGATAAATTAATCTCTTAAATATATCAAACGGCTGTTGTGTGGTGTGGCTATACAGAAGATTGAAATAGACCATTATCATCTATTCAGTTATCTACATATGACATAAGTAATGGATAGTACAGGCATAGTAATATTTGCACAAGCGAGCATCCAACGTCTCCTATTTCCTGTACATAAATTGGGAATATTTATAATGTTTGGGCAATTCAGACTCGTTTATCCCTTTGCAAGATCTATATGTACATATATTCTTCTCTTCGCACAATGAAAACAGTTCAATCCGTTATGTAGTTATGTTACACTCGTTCACATTACTGTACACGTCTCTATCTCAAATATAATTCCTTTAGTTTTTACACTCAGTGCAACACTCGAAGATATCGAACCCCCGGCCAGGGCCGTAGTGGCCTCCCAAAAAGTGGCTCTGCAGAAATATGTAGCCAATGCGGGGTGTCTGGGGGTACTCCCCCCAAAAAATTTTGAAATGTAGAGCCTGGAAATGCCATTTCCTGCATTTTCAGCCTATGTTGAAAGCAACCAATTCTGATCAAAAGGTCAATTTGTAAATTTCAAAGAAGAATGTAGCTAAAGCTGATGTTTTGAGTAAAGTATCTAAAATATATATTATGAGTACATAATTATGAAAAATAAGCCTATTTTCAATCTGCATTTATACTTTCACTATGTACATCTGTATGTTTTGAAGTTTGAATTTGAATAGGCACATTGTCCTATTAAACACACATTCCAGAATTTTTTTTCTCCAAAATAGTGCCACGCCAGTGCCGTGCTGCCGTGGCGGCCACTACGGCCCTGCCAAGAAACAAATTCTCTTCGATTGATTGCAACTTACTTCCACGTTGTCAGTGAACGTCACAACCTCAAGCCTACTCTACTCGGCACACCTCTGCCGATTACATATCTTCATGTAACCTTGACTATTACCTTGACTTGGCTGCCATAACTGGTTATACTTGTAATATCCATGCGACTAATCTAACCAACCTAAATCATCTCCAGAGAAATTACGATACCCTAGGCAAACTACTTATTGTCGTTAATAAAGTACTATTAATGAATAAATAATTATTATAAATGATAAAAGTGGCAATGTCAACCGTGCGTCACACGTCACCACAGTCAGCAATGTCAACCGCGCGTCACACAGTGAGCCATGTCAACCGTGCATCACACAGTCAGCCATGTCAACGTAGCTGCAGTTGCCGATGTCGAACGTGACGACGGCATCCATCTCCCCCTCCTCCTCGCCGTCGCCGTCGCCCCCGCCGCCTCCTCCTCCTCCGCTCTGCTTCACCTGCGGCAGCTGCATGATGCGCTGCACGACGTCGCGTATCTGCTCCTGCGTCGGATTCTCCACGGGTATCACGGCCGTCGTCTGCACGCCGTTGATGTTGATCGACAACGTCGTGCTGCCACCCGTCGTCGCCGCCTCCCCCGCCGTCTCCGCGGCGACGTACCCCTCGCCGTCTCCCGTCGCCGCGGCGATCTCGTCGTTTCCGCCGAGCGGGACCGCGACTTCGGCGGGCTGATCGGTCGTCGTCATTGTCGTCGTGGCAACGCCGTGTTCGAGCGACTCGACGGCCTGCAGCGCCTCGCCGATCGCCTCCATCTGCTCGGGGTTGATGGCGACGGCGGCGCCGTCCTCCGTCGCCAGGTTCGACAGCAGCAGGATCTGCTCGAAGCCTGTCTCGATGAGATTCCCCGCCTCGTCCGTGATCGTGACGACTTCGCCGGCGGCGCCCGCGCCCGCGTTGAGGCTGTCGACGCGCACGACCGTCGGCGCGGCGTTGCCGTCGTCGATGTCGGCCTTGCGCTGCGTCTTGAAGTAGTCGGCGCGCTGCCAGACGTCGCGCGCGTCTGCATGCTTGCGCAGCATGTGCCGCTTCAGGCTGTGCTTCATCTTGATCGCCATGCCGCAGAACTCGCAGACGTACGTCTCGCTCGAGTGCGCCTCGCGCACGTGGTTGTTGAGCAGGTAGAGCTTGACGAACGTCTTGTGGCAGAGCTTGCAGCCGAAGCGTGTCGTCGCCGTGTGCTCGAGCTCGTGCACGCGCGCGTACACCTTGTCGGCGAACGTCTTCTCGCAGCAGCCGCACTTGTAGCAGCGGTTCGGGTCGTGCTTCTCGCGGTGCTTCTCCATGTTGCCCTTCTGCGCGAACGGCTGCCCGCAGATGTCGCAGGTGAAGGGTCGCAGGCCCGTGTGGCTCATCAGGTGCACGCGCAGCGCCGCCTTGCTCTTCAGCCGGTTGCCGCACTGCGCGCACTGGAAGTTGCGCTCGTTCGTGTGCACGCCGTAGTGGATCTTCAGCGTGTCGCTGCGGTGGAAGCGCTTGGCGCACAGCTCGCACGCGTGCGTCTTGTCGCCGTGCGTCTTCGCGTGGATGCCGAGCGCGCTCTTGCTCGTGAACGACACGCCGCACGTCTCGCAGACGCGCGGCTCGACGAGGTACTCGCGGCCCTGGATGCGGTGCACGCGCGCCGCCGCGCCCGACGCCGCGCACGCGTGCCGCAGCAGCAGGTCCTTGCGCGCGAACACGCGACGGCAGTACTCACACTCAAACGGCGCGCGCTCGTGCACGCGCGCGTGACGCAACAGCTTCGCGGCGTCGTCGAACGCGCGCCCGCACTCCGCGCACGCGAAGCTGCCTCGCCCGCCACGCCCGCGCCGCTGGCACGCGTGCAGCAACCGGCTGAGAGACTTCGCGAAGCTGCGGCGGCAGCGCGCGCACTCGTGCGGGTGGGTGTGCGAGGACGCGTGCCGCTCGAACGCCGTCCCGTCCGTGAAGATCTGCAGGCAGCGGCGGCACTGCGCGGCCGCGTTCTGCGCGATCGAGCGCAGGCCCTCGCAGACGACCGCGTGCACCGTCAACCGCTTTTCGAGAACGAACGTCTTCTCGCAGGTGTCGCACGCGAACCTCCGCTCGTGCGTCGCCGCCAGGTGGCGCTGCAGGTAGAGCTCGTTCACGAAGCGATCGCCGCAGATCTCGCAGCGGAAAGCCTCGCCGTCTTCACAGCGGCAGGAGTGGTCCGTCATCGCGCGTCTCGTCGCAAAACACGCGTGGCACGTCTCGCAGTAGTACGCGCCCGACGCGCCGTGGCAAGTCGTGTGGCGATCGAGCAGCCGCTGGTTCGCGAACAACTTCGGGCAGTCGGCGCAGAAGAACGACCCCGAACTCGCGCTGTCCTCACACAGATGGTTCTGCAACTTCTCCTGGCGTAGGAACGTGAGCTGGCAGTCGGCGCAGGTGAATTCCGCGGCGTGATCATCGAGGACGTGCGATCGCAGCTGGTCCTGCGTCTCATGGGTTGCATCACAGACGTCACACGTCCAATTAATATCCTCCGTGTCATCGCCGAGGCGTCCTGAGTTTGGAGTTGCGAGTTCTTCAGTAGAGTCCTTCTTCTCACCTTCCTCATCTATTTCTTCTCTATCCCTAACTTCCAAGATTACTCCTGCTTCGTTGACGCCTTCGTCGTCGAGGTCACACATTGAGAGCACGGGAGTAAAGTTTGCAGAATCACTCCGCTCGAAAGGTTTTGTGTCTTCGTCGAAGAACCGTTTTGGTTTCACGTTTCTGCGCCTGGACCTTGGAATATAACTAGTTGAGGGAGCTTCAGAGCTATCAACAGTAGAGTTACTTTGCTCAGGTGTTAGGGGGTCAGTCGGTTTTGCCTCTTCGCTCACTGCTGGAGAGTTATCCGCTGCAGATGGACGTTCAGCGCCTTCTTCAACCTCAGGGTTCTTCTGTTACACAAAATAGTTCGATTAGTGTTTGGATTTTTACGATAACCTAAGGCCATTAGAGTGAAACATAAAATGTTGCAGTAATTCAGATTGGAACTCAAAAGCCAAATATAAAACTACTGTGTAGGTGTGTTCCTTTCTAAACAATCAAGTAGAGTACTACTACTATGATATTATTATCATTGTATAATTAGAAATTACTCATAACACCATATATTACCTGTTTTCTTCTCGTAAATGTACCATGAACATTCCTGAGGTGAGCAACAAAATCAGGCCTTGTTGGAGAAACCACATTACATTTCTTGCAGTGAATGTTGAAATGATGAAGATGAGATTTCGGGCGTGGGGCTTTCTTCACTGAAAAGATTACACGATCCACATTTATAGATAAAATGTGAATTAAATAAAAGCGTATTATAAATGAATTTTAACCATACACAATATGGAAAACCTTTGTCTACTACTCTACTTAACTGCCATATTGAGTCTATACATTCTTCAACATATACGGTAGAAAATACATCTTTTATAGCTACTGCTGTCACATTTTACTTACCAGTATTTGCACTCTTAGGTATCTTTCTGGTATCTGGCAATGTCAAAGGTAATGGTTCTGCAGAAACAAAAAATGTAAAATAAACAAATCTGCACCTAAATAGAAATGCAGTAACATGTAAGATAAATCATAGATTGATACATGATCCACTAAAGCCAGTTAAACTTTAAGAATTGGAGAGGTCTTCTAACTAGTTAACAAATAATCATAAGTAAACAGTACCTGGATTTGGTGGTTTCTGGAGCTTTTCAGCATATGCAGGTGCATACCAAACCTTCAACTGCTCTCCTGCAGAGATGTCTCGTGTGGTTATGTAGAATATGTCATCCTGTATTGAGAGAAGAAATACATTCACATCTACTTTCTAAGTAATTTAGCAGGGAAATACTGCAGCCTCTATGGTGCAGGACCACACATGCTGCCCTAGTGTCAAGTTCCTATAGTGCTCTCAGTTCCCTTATCGACATCAATATGTATCCAAGGCTTTCAGAAAGTTACATATCATCAGATGTTTAAATAATGTGCATATAGTGGATGTTTATATGCACAAGGCAGAACTAAAATTTATTATCTTTATTAAATAAAATTCATGTTCCTCACAGTTTTCCTAATCAGTCTTTTTTCTGATCACGTGTATAATTCTCATTATATTTCCTCGATCAGTATGAGCTTACATTAATTCATGTTTTGCCTCACAACATAATCCATGCTTAAATATTGTCAGTAATCTCAGCAAAATATAGCATTTACATTCATGTATACAGGGTTTCTTCTGAGGGAAAATTAGACAACGGAGGTATAATGGCCGGTTTGGGGGAAAACGCGCATGATGGATTCAAAGGCTTGCAGTAGGCACGAATGTGGATTCTGCAGGAAGACGCGAAGGAGAGAGGTAAACTTTCTCGGGATCGAGGAAAAAGCTGCAATCGGGAATGACACACGAGTGTGCCGGCATGCAAAAAGAAATGTTGCTGTGAATTTCATTACGATTTTCCATGTATATAGTCAGAAGCATGTGGTGATCTATTTATTTTTGGATTGACACTATTTTGACAACGGCGGGTAAATATAGGAGCATTTTCACAACGGCGTTGTTAAATTTGACAACGGTGGTGTGCCGCAGTGCCTCCTATGTAGAAGAAACCCTGGTATACAATTCATAAGGGTATACCTTCATCTGCAAAGCCATGAGATTCTGTTCATCTGAACAAGTTGCAGGCTGAACGAGACACATCCAATTGCACTCATTCTCTATGTCTATTTGAAGTAAAATGGTCTTGTTACCGTTAAAAACCTGATAAAAAATTATGCAGTCAGTCATGGATATTCATTAAATACTGAAAAGTTCCACAAAGATGATTTAATGGTAAATGGTTGAATAACTCATATGTATATATATCAAATCATTTTACACACACAAGGTATGTAAGAAGGGGAAGAACATGTCATTTTCTTAATTTTTATGTTAGATTACCATGCTGAAACCTGACATCATAACAGAAAATACTTTACCATGAGGTCAAAGCCTGAAGTTTGAGTTCGCTTTATATTTACTCGCGGAGCTTCAAAAGGTCCGAATCTAGTACGGGCAGTTATCACTGAATTAGCGACAACACCCTTCCCACTTGTGTTTAGTTGCAACTGTGCAGGAAGTGTCAGCCTGGCTCGAGATTGAACCTAGATCAGATAATGAAAAATTCTTATGATTATTTTTCTGGTGACTTACATAATAAGTAACAAAGACACTGTTTACTTAATATAAAGATTAAAACTAGAAAGCAGGCTAATTGTATTCTTTGAGTAACTGGGTGAATAGGCACCACCACAGGTAAAGCTAAATGCCATGATATAAATGTTGTATGTGCTAATAGTTTCACACACAAAATGTTGCAGAAAGTTGACACCTCCTCTTTTACTTTCTCGTTTGTACTTCTTCTACTTCTACTTTTATACTGGACAGTCCGTGAGGAATAACGTCCAGGGAGTGCGCAACTCCAGGTGCATGTGAAAAATTAGTATAAAATATTTTGTATGTGGGCTTTAAGCATAAAACAAGGAATTAATCTCTTCACATACTTGAGCATCACACACTTCCGTAACAGGCCCCAACTGTGGACAGTCATCAGTAGCATGGTCATCTCCACAAACATCACAGCCTGTGAATGTACAAAAAGAGATCTAGTATGACAGGAGGCGTGACACCGTAAGGCTAAATGAAGAATTAAACAATAACTTTTTGCCACCTACTGTTTTTAACTGTTTTTAACCTACTAGAGTGTTACTAGAGTCAACTATACAATATTAAAAGTGCCTACCATAAAAAGAGAACACTACCGTTCAGAAGAGCTTAGATCAAAGATCAAGGATGCCAGAGTTAATATGTAATACTCATATATTCAGGAGTGTATCAATAGGAGTGAGACAGACTGAAACCGGCAAAATTCAACATTTAGTAGCCTTAGTCTACCTATGATTTATTGTGTTTACCTCGATAAACTTGAGCTCAAGTCTTGCCTTAATCATTAAACTTTATCCGTGTCTAATCGTTGGTCTCACAAAAATGACAAATCGGG